TTTGACATACGTCACGGCTTGGCCCTCTGCTTGAGCACTTCAGATTTACAGCCAGCGGTAAATGACTGCAGCGAAATTCCTCAATTTCACTAGAGACAAAAGTCTCTGTCTCTGTCTCTGTGTTTGCTCAGCCGCGTCATTGTCGTCACTTGTTAATTGCAGCACATTTGTTTGAAACTTTTGTAGACAGCGCGACAACAGGCGTTAAAGGTTCTGAAAAATGTCACGCTTTCAGTATGACACAACTAGATGCTCTGTAGATAATGTTTAATGTTTATAGCGGTATATAAAATATATCCTAGTATTTTTCCAATAGATGAGAAGAACATACAGGCATACATATCACCTTTACGGATATTATAAATAATATTTTATGTAGCTTTTAGTTCTCATTACTATGCAGAATACATTATTAATAATATCAACTTGTTATCTTAGATTGTAACCCAACTAAATAAACTGTCTCAGCATTGATGTATTCCCTGCGGTTCACCCTAGTACAGGGTATACAAGAAATACAACGCTTGATTGCACAAGTGCTGCCAAACAGAAATTGTTTGGGCTGCTAATGAATACTTTGCCGGTGCACCAAGGCCTTCTTCAAACATGATTGGTGCAAAAAAAAAAAAGAAGGGGCAAAGAAGAAAAAGATACAAAATATTTATTACACAAACTTTCTTTGCGGCAGTCATAAACGGCAACATTTGCTTTGCTGTGGTTTTTATAGCAACGCCCACTGGAGTCTGTGCAGCAAGCATTTGTCCGAATCAATTAGCATTAAATCAAAGATTTTTTATTGCCAGCTTTTGAGTTGAGGGCTGCACGCCCCATCTGTCCGTCCGTCCGTCCGTAAAAACTATGGCGATATTTCAAATGTAAGCGACGTGCTACGATAGCCCAGCTAATATCTATAGCGGACGAGCCGAGGCGTTGCCCACAAGTTCTTTGACTTTGAGGCTAGGCGTGTGTGCGATGAGTCAAGTTGAACGAACGTCAGCTTCAGCTGAAGCAACAGGGCAAGGCGGCAATTCAGATGGTCTTAGCATCTTAAATAGAAATCTTACAGAAAGCCGAACATAAGCTCAACTTCGTTTCTATTTTGATTTAGAAAAGACTTTTATGAGACGTTTGAAAGATTAAATTGTGGCAGCTGAAAAAATGTGAAATGTAAAGGCAAAGCCTTAAGCCAATTGAAAAGTGAGTTCAGAGCAGTATTCAGATATGAATGCTGTAATAGTTAGATAACAAAATACTATCAATACTTTCTAATTGAAATGGCTTGCTAGATATTGTCAAGGGAATACCGTTAGCCCAAAGAATACTCCAAAAAAGATATGAAAGTAAAACAAAAGCCATATTTAATAATAGAAATTGATCATAATAAATAGCATAAGTGAGGCTTTATACCAGGTAAAAAGTTAGCTAAAATAGATGTTAAATATGAAACAATCTATGCACAGTTTGTTGTTACTATCGTAAGAATAGAGTTTTGTATATAGTTGTAAATCACTCTAATGTACGTGTTGATTTGGGGTAGTTTTCTTCTAATTTTAGTAGAATATGAACTTCAAATAACCACGATTTGGCATCGTCAATTTATTTTCTTATGTCTTTTATTCTTTAATTTATAAAATAAACTTTTATTAAATATTATTTTAATTTTAATCAAATATCTAACAAGCAATCAACACTTATTAAATGCGCCAAATTGTCGTGTTTGTTATGCCACCTTCTCCATTATTTGATGGTTACATAACAGCTAAAATATGACATGCATATGTTATTTGGCCAGGCTAACGACTGCCAAAGTGCTTAATTCGACTGACTGACTGACTTGGTTCAGCTTGGCGCACATGTCGTATGCGTAATGCTTGCGTACGTGCGTTAAATATCGAAATATGAAATTGTTGCATTTCATAAGCGCTGCAAATGTAATTATTGTCGCTAGCTTTAATTTTCATTTTTGGCTGAGACTACGAACACTTAAGTGTATTTGTGCCAGGTACGGCTTCTATGGTCTTTTGGCCAAGTTGTGAAATAGTTTTGCTGTTGTTGTTCGAAGCAGTTGAAATAGAAAGTGATTGCTGCTTGTTGTCAGCAATTTAGAGGCGCTGAAATTGGCAATTGCTTTGTCGTATATCATGAGTATGTGTGTGTGTGTGTGTGGGTTGCAAGTCAGTCGAGACTGAACAGCAAATCGTAACCAGTCCTGTCTGCCCTGCTGCCGCTGCCGCTGCCGCCTTCTAGCCTTGCAGTAACTGAGTCGTGGGCCCAAGTAGCGTTTAAATTAATGTAGGCAAGCGCTGGAACTAATGACTCTCTTGTCTTGTCGAAGTTGTCAACGTTGTTGTAGTTGTAGTTGTCTCTTGTCGCTGGCCTGGTGCATTGAACTCTGTCTATACAGACAACGTATATGAGTGCGGCGATAGCCAGTTGGGAGTTGGCTGCCTAAAAAGATAGTTAATTAGAGCTTTTACTTTCGTTGTCCGTGAAAGTGTGTTGCATGCCACAGATTCAATTTTGTAAATTGTGTTACAGATGTTGTTGTTGTCGTTCCCCTTTTTCGTTGTCTCTGCTCGAATAACTTAATAGCCCGCGGCAAGATTTTCATTTTGGCCAGACACTTTTACCCCGCTACAAATTCAATTTTCGTATCAATAATAGCGCAAAAATCAAATGGAAAAAGTGAAGTTGAAAAACAGGTGGGAAAATCATTTTTTTATTATTATTATTTTGCAAAAGGAAAGTGAAAATACGCTCAACACATTTTTGCGGCTTTGTCTGTTTGGTATTTGATATTGGGTATTTAAAAAGGAAGCGCTAATTATATCAAAGTCGCATTTCATGGAAAGTAAAACAAATAATATTTTTAGCTATCAATCAGCGTGCGTCGCATTGTTGAGCCTTGGCTTTGGTGAAAGTAAAAACTGTGCCAAAAACTATATCGAAAAGCAGGAGAAATACATACATTAAAAAACCGCTTAGCAATTGGGTTAAGCTCAATAACTTAACGTGTTTTATTTCAGCTTCGTCTGCTTTTTCTGCTGTTGTTTGCTTTGTTGCCCGTGTGAATTATGCGCGCTGTGAAATAAACTAAAAAATATTATTAAACTGGTTGCTTGTGGCACACGGCACCCACTTGGGCATACCTTAAAGCCAAGCTTGCATCGGTCTAATACGTCAGCAGTAAAAAAGCACTTGCCACATCTGCCTGTCTGTCTGTCTGCCTGCCACACATGCACTTGGCACCTTTTCGCTTTTGGAGGCTGCGCTCATAGTGCTTGGGGCAAGTCAACTATCGCAGCAGCACATAAATCACAGCCTTCTCTGAGCCAAAGTAAGGAAAGTAACGAGATTTATAACACTCTGCCAGCTAAAGCTCTTCTGTAAGGCTTGAAAATTGTTGTAACAGTATATTGAATGCTTGGCGGGTGGTGTAAAAAGCCACACACAGACAAACATTCTGTCTCCCTCTCTGACATCTCTCTCTCACACTCTCTTTGCCACATTCTTAGAGAATTGAGTTCAAGTGAGTTCATCTCTGTCAAAGATCAGCAGGTGTCAATTTCTAAAAGCTTTTGTTTAGGCCTAGAATTGCCCCAAAGAGAAAATACTTAAAAATATGAAAAGAATAGCAATATGAAATTCTTGATATTAGATAGAAATTTCGATCATTTTCTTTCAATTAAAAATTAATTAAATTATATTTCGTGTGTTTATTGCTCAGAAACTAGTTATAGACAGCTATTAAAATTTATATTTTCAGAAAACTTTAATGATAATTGCTCGCATTTCTCTTTCAATTTCATGCGCTATGATAAAATTAAAAAAAAAAAAGAAATTTTAGTTGAAATGTGCAACAATTATTCAAATAATATTAATGAAAGCTTTAACTAATTTTAGCACTAAGAAGTATAAAGACAAATAGCTCAAGCTAAGTTTGATGCTGAAAGAAATGGAAAGTTCTTGCTCAGCTTTGTCCTATTTCTAGTTTGTCTATTCTTCTTTGTCTATTGTCTTTGCTCCTATTTGGCATAGGTTTTTAGTCTAGTTTCTTCAGCCATTATATCTATGTGAATCTCTTGACAAAATCTACTCACTCACCAATTTCTAATTAGTGAAAAGTAAAACTTAAGTTCAACAGCCATTTCGCAACATTTGCTCATTGATTTATTGCGCAGACAAGCACATCACCCGGCGATATATCTCTATATATGCCTGCTCATCTGATAAGTTACTCAGCTATCATACATATATGCATACCAAGCATATTTTACCAGCTATATAAATCGCAGTCGTGAATATGTTGGCATCTTTTCAACGCTTCACGTAGCAATTTGTGAAATTCTCGTCTTGCCAGTGCAATTGTGGCTGGCAGGGGGCGTGGCCAAGGGAGGCGCCTTGGTAATAAGTAATATGACTGCCACAAACTGTGACAGATGGGATCGCATGACTTGTGCAAGACATATGTTTGCCCAGCCTTGGCTTGCCAAAAGGCAGACCCGTAATTTTAGATGTTGGCAGGCGTATGTGATTTAGATATACATATAAGTATATATATAAATACGTATATATGGCTGCAACAAACAATTATACTGAGAGAGTGAAAAGAAGAACAAAAGACTGAAGACACAAACTTGACATCGAAAATAAATGATGCCTGCCAGCCGAGGCTGAGGCTGAGACTAAAACTGAGACTAAGACTGACTGCAACTGAAACTGAAATCTCTCTCTCAAAGTCAGTTTCGAATTTCTAAGAAATGCAAATGTGCATCACATCGGCATCCACAATGACAATGACAAAGACAAAGCACAGGGCAGGTGCCGCAATTGTTGTTGTTGGGGCGTACCTGAAAAGTGAAATCCGCTGTCGCTTTTGTTTTGGTTGCAGCTGCAACAGATTCTTTTCACTGCGATAAATAATTAGTGAAATTGAAGCTTTGGCATTTCCAGAATTTCACCAGCTTTAATTGCGCCTTTTCCTCTTGCTCTTCTTGCAGCTGCCCAGCACGATGGCATCTCGCAAATCTCGCCCAAGTCTAGCAGCCAGAACTCTGAGGCGCGTTTGAGCATTGAGAGCACCATGGCCGATACGAACAGCATCTCGGAGAGCCTCCACTCAGAATCTGTGAATGAAAGTGAAACGCGTGCGCGTGTGGAACGTTCGGCTTCACCTATACTGCACGAGCCGCAGCAGCAACAGCATCCCAATGATATCAACTACGGCAAGGATAACGACAAGGATGTCTCTGCAGGCCGTTACTTTCACTACAATATCAAGCCGACGGGCACGTATGATCAGCAGGAGGAGCAGGAGCAGCAGCAGCCAGAGCGCACTCAGCGCGTTCGAGCAGGCAAAACTCTAGGCAGTAGCAGCAGCTCCATTGGCAGCAGCTCAACCGAGCAGCCTTTTTTAGCGCAAAGGGGGCTGCGACAGCCTACGTCGGGGTCCCCTATCAGCCCGAGTCCGAGCAGTACTGCCAGCTCGATAGCCAGTGCGACTCAAACGCCGCATAATGCACGCCAAAATGGCAATCCGGACATTCAGGACATCATCACGGGCATTGTGAAGCTGCTGAATGGCAATGTCAATGTGCACGCCAATACGCAAGGCGTGCGTCGACCCTCGGCGAGCCGCATTAATAATCGTGGACCACCGCGCATATCCGAGGTGCAGCCCTTACCCCTGGACTATGAGGCACAGAAGCCGGGCACGTCCATGCGACCTCCTCCCTATCCCTTCGATCGACCCGATCGTCCGTTTATTACTGGCGTGCCGATTCCGGAACAGATTGTGCCCGTGCGTCCAGGTTTCGTGAGCAATCGGCCGCCCTGGTATCGCAACAAGCCACGCCCTCCAATCACGACGAGCGTCAATGGCAGTCGACGTCCCCTGCCGCAGTATCAGCCAATGCCCCAGCAGTTGCCCCCACGTCCCGCTGACCCGGAGCCAGTGCATCAGCAAGAGGATGTCAAGCAGCAGCCGGAACCAGTTGCTGATCATCTAGACGCTGTGCCGCCCACAGACACCACCTACGACTCGGAGTTCTCCAACGAAGATGCCAATGCACAGTATATTGAAGTCTCTGATCAGGATACAGAAGCTGGTGGCGAAATCGAAGACGAGCTGGTGCCGCCAGCCGAGCCCTCGCCTACAGCGCCAACTAAAGAGCAGGTGATCAAAAAGAAACACAAGCCAAAGCCCGCCAAGAAGCCACATGAGGAGCACGACGGCTACACCACCATCATTGAGACCAGCTCCGTGGTGAACACTGTGATGGGCATGTCGTCGACCTATGTGCCCATGTCCATGGATAGTGGTGAGGCTGTTAGCCATGATCTTGATCCTTCCACTGAGGAGGTCATCTTTATGACAGCCAATCGTACGCCGGGACTGGAGGCCAGCGCCTCATCCGCTACGAGCAGCATTCAGACTATGCCGCTGAGCGAGCTGGTGGCCTCGGATGCCATTGCTCCGTCATCCAAAACACCTATGACCACCTCTACATCCACCACCACCACCACCACCAGTACTAGCTCCACCACCACCTCAACCACCACAACCACCTCGACTACCTCAACCACCTCAACCACCACTGAAAAGGCGCCCATTGTCAATGCCCCGACGCCCGCTCCGGCCGCTCCTGCCGCTTCCTATCATCCCCGACCAGGCATTGTTTTGGACGATCCCGAATTCAAGCCCGGTGGTCGGCCACGTCCACCCGCTCAGCGGCCAACAGCTCCTCAGCAGCCCATACAGCCAACGCGTCAGCACCTGCCGCCCGGCTATGGCGAAATCTTTGACGTAACGCTATCGGCTATCCAAGGTCCGGGTCCCAAGGGCAGCGGCTCCCAGCAGACGATCAACATTAAGCCGTATGGCAGCTATGGATCGGCGCCAGCAGCAGCAGGTGGCGCCGGCGCACAGGCGGACATCATTGTGTCAGCGTCAGGTGACGAAGGCTTCGTCTCAATTGATGGCAAACGCACTTACATCAATCTATTTGGTGATCCCACAGATCCGCCCGCAGGCGCCACAACGCCGGCAACGCGTCTGCCCCAGCTGCCGGGCGCAGCAACAAGCAGTGGTGCTACAGGAGGTGGTGGTTCGACAGGTGGTGCAACTATACCGCATCATGGTGTCACGCAAAGCAGCAACGGCTATGTGGTGCCCGAAACGGAAATAGTTGAACTGCAGCCACAAGCAGGCACCAGTCCTGGATATGGACATGGCCAGGGACAGGGACAGGGACACGGTCAGGGACAGACTGCCAGTAAGGTGCCAGCATCAACAACACATGCGGGCCCCACTCGACCACACTATCGCCAGCGACCCACGCCGCCGCCCGTGCGCATTGACACCTGTATCGTGGGCGACGATACCACCTGCGACCAGGCGCAACATGAACGCTGCAAAACGGACAATGGCGTGTCCAGTTGTCATTGCAGACCAGGTGAGCTAGGGGAACTGTGTGAGGTCGGGGAAGCCAATCTCACAATTGCAGGAAAAAGCTTTAAAGCATCCTTTAAAAATCCGATTACATAAAAGAGTAAAGATTAGAGAAAGTTCTCTAAAGTTATGTTTCAATCCATTTCAAGGTTACTCACGTCGCAAGCATCGTGAACCGTGCCGTCGCGTAATTTCCTTCCATCTGGGCATGCGCGTGGATCGCATCTATGAGCATCGCATTGTGTGGGACAATAAACTTCTGGATCTCAACAGCGAGCCTTATGGCCAACTGAGCTACGAGTCTGTGCGTGCGGTAAGTATAGCAAAGCATATTTCCATCAAATCAACAGTAAACCTTAATCGAAACTCTCCACAGCTGGACTCTGCCATGTCAATGACACCCTATTCGGATGAGTTTATGGAGGCGAAGGTCAATAATATCTACAGAGGCGATCCTAATCTGGGCGGCAGTGGCGTCTATGTGAATCTGACATTAAAAGTGAGTTAAAATCAAAGAGAAGGGATCTAACTTTTAACTAACTGTCTGATCTGCTCTACGCGACAACAGCTGGATGAGAGCGTGGAGACACTGCGTCCCAATCTGCGCAGCGATGTGCAGAAGCATCTGCTGGGTGTGCTGCATCGACGCAACAACAACATTGGCAACTCGGTGCTGTATGTGAGCTCACCGGAGGGCGCTGTCTCGGCGCTGCACGATGTGGACGAATGCCAGTCAGCGGAACTGAACGATTGCCATGAGAGCGCCACGTGCAGCAACAGCTGGGGCAGCTTCCAGTGTGCCTGTGCGCCGGGTCTACGTGATCCCTGGGCCGATCAGCCATTGCGTGCAGGTCGCGAGTGCCAAGCCTGTCCGGATGCCTATTGCAATAACCATGGTGTCTGTAGCTACAACGACGAAGGCGCTCAGACGTGCGCCTGCGATTCGACTCATTACGGCGGACAGTGCGAGATCGACGGCGAGGTGCTGGGCGTAGCAATAGGTGCCTCTGTAGCAGCTGTGATTATCATAGTTCTGACTCTGGTATGCCTGATCATGTGGTCACGTCGCTGGCAGCGGGAGCAAAAGAATGCAATGGGCTCGCCAGTGTTTGGCTACATGAATACGGCCCCGTTGAAATCGGCGGGCTTGCCACAAGCGGGCTATCAAGTGACGCTCGAGGATCGCATGCGCTGGGCACAGATTGCCGATGTGATGGCCCAGACGAATCATTACGGAGTGAGTGTTAGTTAGAAAGCCCCAAACATAAAATGCATGAAAACTAATCAATATTTGCTTGCTAGGCGGAACCCATTGGACCCACACGGCCGTCGTCGGCCATGTTTGCGTATCCGAATCTGGGTGCCATGGGCATGGGCACCATCGGTGGAATGTCGCTGCAGAGCACCATGCAAATGCATCCGAGCGCCAGCTTGGCGCCGCCAGTGCCATTGCCCAGGTGAATATAACCAAATGTAATTAACTAGATTTATTGCTAACTCATTTTGAAATTCCAACCAGAAGACTCGGCCTGGGTGCGCGTGCGAATGGCATGCGCGCGCTGGAGAATTCTAGCTCCAGCGAGGAGGAGGATCGCGCCGATCTGCTGGGTCGCAATTTTCAAGTGCCACGCCCAAAGAGTCGCAGCAATGGCAGCATAGCGGTAGGTGTACAGCATCCCATCCGTGTCAGCTCACTCATTTAAAATTATTTTTATTTGCTGTAGAACCAGTCGGGCATCTACTACGATGTGGACTACGAGCCTTCGGGCAATGGCATTGGCAACACCAGCGTCGATCACCTTTATGGCTCACAGAATCAGTCTGTGACGCACTCGTCAGGCAACAATCATATACCCGGCCCCCAAGGCATACCCATGAGCACCTACACCTCGGGTCGTGCGCCCAGCAGTTACTACATGAAGTAAAACCCCTCGCCCTCTCCATCCCTAGCTTAACAAATACCTGTAAATATGCAATTTAGCTCTAGCTTAGTTTAGGTCCGACTGTCTAAAACACTTTTCCGCTGCAGTCCGCAAAAAAAGCGGAAGAACGAAGTCGGCGACTGCAGCTGAGACGCGTTTTTGTGCAACAAGCAAGACTTAGTTTACAATATATTTATGTATACATCACATATATATAGAACACATAGTTACGTAAAGTTAAATGCAATGTTAACGATCACTAATCATTAATTTTAATCTTAAATTAAAACTTTAAATTATTCTTCTATCCCTAGTTCTAAATGCAGTTCAACGAAAGCTTAGCCGAAAGTCAATTTTTAAACAACCGAGCACTAGTATTTACCAATTTTATGTACTTAAGTTTTAATGTGTGAATGTAAATATGGATCAATAAAGAGATAATAATATAAGTTACCTGGAGAGTTGTAGGTTCTTGAAGGCATTGTTCGTTTTTGCTTTTTTACTGACTAACAATACACAAAATCATCACGAAAATAACATTTTTATCCATTCATAATATTACTATTACTTAAAAATGATGGAAATATTTAAAAACTTAAAATTAATTTCCGTAAATTCCATAAAAACCATTTTAAGACTGAGTTTCACATTATTTCAAATATACCGCCAAGCTTCCAATGCCTTCAAAACTGTACAGCTTACACGTAGCGGCATCTCGTTTTAGCGCTTAGGTTTGTATGTACCAACTTATCGCTACGACTGCTACAGTGTAAGCGTGAAAGCAAGATAACACACTTTAAGCCAGTGTTGAAGAAGTACCAAAGTCTAACACACACTTCAACATTGGCGGGTTTTTTGAATTTGTTTGTTTTTTAAATTACATTGCAAAATGATTTGCGAACTTTAATTGTTGACATTTTAATTATCTAACCAACTGCCATTTTTCCTTACGCTGACTCAACAATAAAAGCAAATATAGTTGGCATGCCTGGCCGTGCCAACTACGTTTTATTTATGGTCACTTCACTTTTCACTTTTCTTTGTGGAAATGAAATGAAAACGAGATTTGATGATTTATGAGTTGGTTGCTTTGGTTCACACGCATAAATAAATTCAAATTATTAGAAAAAAAGAAAACTGAAATTATGAAAATTTCGTATGTATGTTCCGTTTGCGTGCGACTGACCGAAAGTGAAGCAGAGACTTATGCAACAATTATGTGAAGTGCTCGTGGTAACGGTTAACTGGCCAGGTGCACGCCTCTTGCTTGACCCTTGCATGTACCAGTTTTAACGACTTAGCACCCTCTCTCTCTATCTATCTTTCTATCTTTTTATTTATCTCAAGCGCAGCAGGCGGTCGATCTGTCGACAGTTCGGTGGAAACAGCAAACCCATATATCGGCAGATCTATCAAATCGCCATGTATTAGCCAGCTAATGGCTATATATTTTGGCGTTCAATGTCGACTTAATTAATCGACACCTTTTGTTGCCGGTGAGTTTTTGGGCTTAAAGGTAAAACCGCTTAGCGCCAGCAATTGAAAAGTCGAAAAGGTCGAACATTCGTTAATAGCGCCTATTTCATAATTCATCAGCGCTGATCACAGAGCAGCAAAAAAAAAAACCTATGAACATATATGTAGTGCGCAGCATCTGAAGATGATTTTATTAGATTGCTTGGACCCACAGCTAAACAACAGATGTTGACCCAATTGGCTAACAATTATTTCAGTTTCATTTTTATTTTATTTTTGCCATGACGCTGCAATCTTTTAGCCGCCTTCAATTGCGACAGCAGCGGGGGCGTGTCCCTCTAATATAAAGCAGCTCACGTAAACGTGAGACTCGTGCCGTATAAACCAAAGAGACATAAAATTAAAGCGTAACCAGTAAATATTGCTCTAGTTGGAAGTGAACGACTAACAAATACCCTAAGCCCTGGGCAGCTGCTTTCAGTGTTCTAACTTAGTCATACATACGTAATCTACACACAATCTCACGCACACATATGTAGGTATACGCGAACAGGCGTATACACACATACAACTGTATACAAACATGTAGACCTACACGCACGCACGTCGCTCGCTACGAACTAAACTTTATTATCAACCAAGAAATATGACATCAAATAGACATAAATTCATGTATGTATATATGAATTAACAACTTTCTTTTGAGCAGCATGGCCTGAGATAGACAAAACATTATATATACATAAATATATTATATATTTATGTAAGCTTTGTAATGAACTACGTGAATTTAGTATTTAACTCAGCAGCAAATAACTAAAGCTTGATATCGATTGGTGATGGTTACGGTTATCGATGATTTAAAACATACTTAATATACGCGAGTTATTGAAGGACCGTTGTATGTGTAGAATTTCAAGTCTCTAGTTCTTATGCGATATATCAAGGCATCGATACAATTGGATTTTCTGCTTGTTACGAACACTTTAACGCAAAGCATTATACCCTATTTATGCATTTTCAATGTGTTGAGGGTGTAAAATTGCGAATAGGCGATGCCGAATTATATCAGGCGCTTAAATCGATGATCAGCATTAGCGTCAATTTGTGCGATGTGTGCCAAATTGGCATATTATGTCATCCGTAGAGCGGCCTTCAGCTGGATGGGACATCAGGAGCCAATGTGTAGTAGGTCAACTGCAGACATCAGCGCCGTAACATTAACTGAGAATTGCAACAAGACATTGTTGAACGCCATAAACACATTTCGCACAACTTCAAGCGTTTCAATTGGCAACTGCAGCCGCTTTTGGCAAGCGACAATGACAATGGAAGTTGTGGTTGTTATTATTGCTGCTGCTGCAAGACAGGTGTTGCAAGCCATAATTCAAAGTTAAGCTGCTGAGTTCCTCTTCGCTCTCCGTAACATGCAACATGAGTAACAGCCATGGCGGTGGGTGATCACTGTAGCCGTTTGTCATAATTGGACGCGCGTGGAAGATGCGCTCGCAACTTCCTTGTTGGAGTGAAAAATTTCCTTTCTGTCAATGTGGCAAATGGCTCAAAGCTGACAAAAAATTGGCCAAACAAAGCGCAAACACAAAATACAAATTTTTCGTATGACAACAACAAAATGACACGCAGGTACAGTGGTAGATAGGAAAGTCTCCGGTGCCTAAAATGTATTTAATTCGAACATATAATAAAAAGTCTTTGCTTAGGCAATAATTGTTGCCAGCCTGTTGCAAATTCATAAAAGTCCTTTGAAAACAAATATCCCTTTTTGGCATTTTTTAATCCCTGCGCAAAAAATATAATTAAGCCAGTGACTTTTGGAACCACTGAAAGCTATGCTTCGAAAAAGATAAGTTTATTAAATATATATATATATATTTATATATTTATATATTATATATATTTATATATATATATATTTTTTTGCGAATTAAAAATTCCCCCTATTTAGTAATTTTAATCACTTGCTGAGCAACTTGCAACTGTCTGGCAACGTTTAAAATCTCATTTAACACAGAGAGCACACTTAGCGGATTTTATAAAAGATCTTATGGGAATGTAAGCTAATTGGCGTGGAAACCTGACTAAAATCAAAGCAGTGAGAGACCTTCAAGCCGATAAGCATCTGTGATGCGAACCACTGTGCAACGCATATATATTTTTTGTTGCTGCTGCCACAAGCGGAACAGCAGTTGGAAAACATAAAAAAAGCTTGTGTAGAAAAAAAAATCAAAAATCACAAAAAGGCGGCGCACGACAAAATGCACTCAAATGTTGCAGTTGCAACAGACAACAACAAATAAATGCCATGAAAAAACGCTGTATGAATTAACATAGGTGTTAATGAGCCAAGCCACACACAGGCTGGAAGATTCGCACGCACATAAAATAACTTCATTTACATGAAAGCTTCCTCGCAGGCAGTTAGGACAGTACAATTGGATGGCATTCAAGCAGCCACATGATTTTTTTAATCGGAGTGAGTCTATGTGAAAGTCTTGGCCTGACGTAACGCGGTTGCATCTTCAAGCAGCGACACCTGTTGTTCGTTGCTGGAATTGTTCGATTGCGCAATTGGCCAATCGTCTTTTCCTTCCCCCTCTCTCTCTCTCTCTTTCTCTATCTATCTCTTTTTTCTTTACAGGAAGATGGCGCCCACACTTCCGCTTAAAGTGTGCCCAGAGCCTGGGCATCGAATTGCCCAATGATCAAACGCTGTTTAATTAGCAATATTTGTCAAATGGCAGTCATAAGAAATATTTCTTGTTTTAGGTGTCTTCAGCGCATGGCAAGCGGCTTATAGATGAGGAAATTCGCGCATGTGCAGCTGCAAGCCGTCTGCTACGCAAATTGGAATGTGAGACCTCTGACTGAGGCTTGGCTTCGTTTGCTTGGCCCATTGCGTAATGTCCATTTGGAGCCTGGTGGGCAGCCACTCGAAGCCACTGAGCTACTAAGCCGGTTTTTCGTCTGCATCTGTTGCAGGACAACGCCTCAATGGACAAAAGCCAAAGCTCGTTCTGTATTTTTGCTGCGTGTTTCGACGTCTTCTCCTGCTTTATAGCCAAGATAACAGCCGTCTGCGGTTGCAACATAAACTGCCATAAATATACTGATGATACTGGGCACGTCGCAAATCTGTGTCTTGATCCGCTGTTAACCTGTTCCAGTGATCAACCTTGGATCATACGAACGCACCTTTTGCTGGAGATTCGCTAATCTTATTACGATTACGATTTCATATATCAACTGGTAAATGGTCAAAAGTCATGTTTCTTGACCACCTGCAGCTCGCAACTAAATCTGCAGCGTAGCTAAGCAATTAATGGTGCATTTAATTGAAATTGCGCTGACAAAACGACGCGCCTAATTGGCTGCAGCTCGAAACGGGATGATGCAACCGGTCAACCGGGGCAACAGTTTCAAGAAATCTGCTTTGGAGGCTGTAATTTCATTTGCGCTCAGTATGTGGGTCAACTGCACACGAGTGGTAACAATAACATTACCAGCAACACTCAAGACATGCGCACCTGCTTTATCGACAGCTTCGACGACGGCTTCGGCTTCGGCTTTGGCTTGCGCGGTCATGTAACGAATTGGAGCAACCGAATGTGCCTCGAGCCACACCAAGTCGAGTCAAGCTATAAAAGCAATCACAAGCGCAATATGTCAAAGACGCTAACAATTGACGCTGACGATGGCGAACACGATGACGTTGCAGGAAGAGGCTTTAACGAGACTCGAAGTGGCATTTCACATTGGCGTCCAATTGGAATTAGCGGCTATTAAAGGGGGCTGAGTGAAGGCCAAAGCGTGTTTGAATCGCTTTTATTTGTTTATGTTGTAACATTCCAGGTGAATGCTGGCCAGCCCT